CTCTAACTGCTGAGCCAAACTGGCCGTGGCTGAGTTGTTGTTGTTTTGTTAATTTCCCCCCTAGAATGATGGGAAAAGTATACAACCCATTTTAAACTTCCTAGAATAATGTTAGCACTGTGTGAATTTTTAATTTAAAAAATATAGAAAAGTTTAAGACCCTGGCCGGGAAACTTAGTTGGTTAGAGCATCGTCCCAATACCACAAGGTTGCAGGTTTGATTTCTAGTCAGGGCACATACAAGAATCAACCAATGAACGCATAAATCAGTGGAACAACAAATTGATGATTTTCTCTCTCTCTCTCTCCCCCCTTCCTCTATCTAGAAAATAGATAAATAGATAAATAAATAATAAATAAAATATATAGAAAAGTTCAAAGAAGTAGCAATCACTCATATTGCCACATTTAGAATTAATCATTGTTAATTAAGATTTTGACATTTTTGCTTCTAGTGCTTTTTTCTATGTATATATATTTAAAACATCATATAAATAAGAATAAATTATGCATAAAATAGTAGAACCTTATAGATGAAGCCAGAGGGTCCAATACTCTTTCCATCACCCCAACTAGCCAATATAATGATATGTATCTATTTCTCTAGTCCTTATACCCATAGAAAATGCAGGTATTCCTAGCTATACATATTCTTACTGTTCAAAAATTCCCTTTTAACAACTTGTGATAAATTTCACCCAAAACTTGCTACGCAAATAAAAAACTGAGTGTAACGAAATGTCATGCACATTGAGCAAAAACATTTCTGTGAACATCACTAATCATCAGAGAGATGCAAATTAAAACAACAATGAGGTATCACCTCACACCTGTCAGAATGGCCGCCATCAACAAATCATCAAACAAGTGTTGGCGAGGGTGTGGAGAAAAGGGGACTCTAGTACACTGCTGGTGGGAATGCAGACTGGTGCAGCCACTTTGGCAAACAATATGGTGTTACCTCAAAAAATTAAAAATTGAACTTCCATTTGACCCAGTGATCCCACTTCTAGGAATATACCCTAAGAAGCCTGAAACACCAATCAGAAAGAATATATGTACCCCCATGTTCGTAGCAGCACTATTTACAATAGCAAAGATCTGGAAACAGCCCAAATGTCTATCAGTTGACGAATGCATAAAAAAGCGGTGGTACATATACACAATGGAGTACTATGCAGCTGTAAGAAAGAAAGATCTCTTATCCTTTGAGACAACATGGAGGGACCTGGAAGGTATTATCCTAAATGAAACAAGCCAAACAGAGAAAGACAAGTATCATATGATCTCACTTATTTGTGGAATATAATGAACATAACAGTCTGAGGAATGGGGTAGTCCCAGAGACGTGGAAGTGGGGTATAGACTGACAATCCCCAGAAGAGGGGATGGTGGGGGAGAAATAAACCACAGAACTTATATGCATGCACGCATGAACAATGGACATGGACAACAAAGCTGGGGACAGAGCGGGGGGGGGGGATCAGTGGGGAAAAAAGGAAAAACATCTGCAACAAAAATTAATTAATTAATTAATTTAAAAAAAACAACACATTTCTTTGACTGTAAGGGGTAGGCCAATGGAGGAAAGTGAATGGAAAACACCTTCTTTTGTCCATATGGCTCTGCTTTTCTGCCTAGAGATTTAGTCTGAGTTAGTGGTCACTGCTATTGCTTACCTGGACAATAGTTTCCATCGTTTTCAGAGCTCCTGACATTTGTATCTTTTCTGTATGTTCTATTAAGTAGTTTCAAGGCAAGACACAATGGAATCAAGAGTTGGTTACAGCCCTGGCTGGTTTGGCTCCGCGGTTGGAGCATCAGCCTGCAGACCAATGAGTCATGGGTTCGATTCTGGTCAAGGGTACGTACCTCGGTTATGGTTCATCTCCACCCTGGTTGGGTCGTGTGGGAGGAAACCAGTTGATGTGGCTCTATCACATCAATGCTTCTCTCTGTCTCTCTCTCCCTCCCTCTCACTCTATTTGATAATAAACGGAAAAATGTCCTCGGGTGAGGAATAAAAAAAGAGTTGATTACACCCTGGCCTATGTGGCTCAGATGGTTGAGTGTTGTCTCATGTACCAAAGGGTTGCTGGTTCAGTTCCCAACAGGACACATGCCTGGGTTGTGGGCTTGCTCCCCAGTAGAGGGTGTGCAGAGGCAGAGGATCTCTCTCTCTCCCTTCCTGTCTCTAAAATCAATAAAAACAGCCCTGGCCGGTTTGGCTCAGCGGTTAGAGCATCGGCCTGCAGTCCAGAGAGACTCAGGTTCGGTTCTCGCTAAGGGCACGTATCTTAGTTGCAGTTTGTCCCCGGCCCTGGTTGGGTTGTGCGGGTGGCAGCCACTCGATGTGTCCCTTTCACGTCGATGTTTCTCTCTCTCTCTCTCTCTTCCTCCTGCTCTATCTGAACAAAAAAATGAAAAAATGTCCTCGGGTGAGGATAAAAAAAATAATAATAAAATAAAATCAATAAAAACATTTTTTAAAAAAAGAGTTGGTTACTTTCTGCCATTATAATCTAGAAGCCCATATACTACTTCTTATATTCAGAAAAATAAAACGAAATGAAAACAATATTTTTTAAAATGCTAGTGAAGGTACCCAGGGGAAAACATAATTCTGGGAAAACACTCAACAGATGCATTTTAGAAGGTAGCAATGGCTCAAAGAAGCAAAAGAAGGCAGAAAGGAAAATGGAGACTAGTTTGCAATGTGATTTTGTAGTGCTGTGGGATAAAGCCAGTGCTATTACTGGGTGTCCATGTGCTGCGGGACGAGAAGAGAATGTTGCCCCAAAACACCTCTAGTGAAATACCTATATACCATATAACTTGACATATGAATTAAAATTAAAGATAAAACTCTATAAACAAAAGGTTGACAAAATTCTACCTTACCTAATATAAGATCAAAGAGCTAAGTATGCTTAGTTTAACTAAGCCACACTTAATATGTATTTAATTTTTTTTTCATTTATTTCTGTTACAAATGTTCCTGTACCCCTGCCCCAACCCCCACATTGACACTTTCCTCTCTGCTCCCATCCCATAGCCACATTTAATATTAATCTGTCTAGCCTGGGCAGTGTCGCTCGGTGGCTGAGCGTCAACCCATGCACCAAGAGGTCGCTGGTTCGATTCCCGATTAGGACACATGCCCAGGTTGCGGGCCAAATTGTCAATGGGGGATATGCAGGAGGTAGCCAATTGATGTTCTCTCTCATCGATGTTTCTGTCTATCTCTCCCTCTCCCTTTCTCTCTCTAAAATCAATAAAAAAAATTTTTTTAAAATTAATCTGTCTATAAATGCTAGGTTTAGGAATACCTAATTTCTCCCCTCAGTAGTTAATCAGAAAAATATAATGAAGTGATTGAATCAAAAGACATTATGTGCTCAACTTGAGATCATACTATAGAAATACCATTTCTTTGTAATAACAGATATCTTGTCAGTACATTCATATTAGCGATCTCACTCATGATGCTGGGCACATCCAACCTCCCCAACTACCTGAAACAGCCTTATCTATACTGGTTCAGAAAGCTTGGGCTGGGCTGGGCTGTGTCTAGAAGTGGCCCCTAGATTCTTGGCCACCTGACCAGTGGATAGCCCAAACATAGGCTGGCCAACAGCTTATGTTCGCATTGTGTGAAAAGCTGTGCTAGGCCAGACTCCTCTCTTGGAAGTTTAAAACAGGAGAAAATTTTGTCAGCTGGAAAGAGAAGAGACAGAGTACCTGAGTCACATGAGTCATATGAGTGAGCTAAGATTCTGATACCCTAACTACAGAACCTGTTCTTTCTGCAGTCTTGTTTTTTTTAATCCTCACCCGAGGACATTTTTTGATATTTTGCTCAGATAGAATGGGAGGGATAGAGAGAGAAACATCGACGTGAAAGGGACACATCGAGTGGTTGCCACCCACACGATCCAACCAGGGCTGGGGACAAACTGCAATCGAGGTACATGCCCTTAGCGGGAATTGAACCCGGGTCTCTCCAGAGCACAGGCCAACGCTCTAACCGCTGAGCCAAACCGGCCAGTGCTGCAGTCTTATTTAACTATTATTTCAGTTTCCCTTCACAATACAATATCAATAGGGTAATAGGGTTTTTTACTTTAAAGTATTTTTACAAACAGATCAACTGCACAACTCTGAAAAGTTATGTGGGATTAAACTATCCACTTTAACGATGAGAAAGCTGAGTCCAGCCGGTGTGGCTCAGTGGTTGAGCGTTGACCCATGTACAAAGAAGTCACCGGTTCGATTCCCGGTCAGGGCACATGCCCAGGTTGTGGGCCAAATCCCCAATGAGGGGCATGCAGGAGGCAGCCAATTAATGTTCTCTCTCATCAATGTTTCTACCTCTCTCTCCCTCTCCCTTCCTCTCTCTCTCTTAAAAAAAAAAAAAAAAAAAGATGAGAAAGCTGAGGCAGAGTGGGATCAAATAATTTGTTATGGTTACACAGCTTCTCAAGGGCATAATCGTGATAAAACAAGACAACTGTATTTTCCAATGAAACTACCTGATCTGCCTGGCCAGTGTGGCTCAGTGGTTGAGTGTCGACCCATGCACCAAAAGGTTGCTGGTTCGATTCCCGGTCAGGACACATGCCCAGGTTGTGGGCCCAATCCCCAGAGGGAGGTATGCAGGAGGCAGCCAGTCGAGCTGCCTCTCATTAATGTTTCTCTCATTGATGTTTCTCTCTCTCTCCCTCTCTTTCTCAAATCAATAAAGGAAAAAAAAAAAAGAACAATATTGTGCCCAGCTGGAGTGACTCAGTTGGTCGGAGCATCGTCCCATGCACCAAAAGGCTGTTGGTTCGATCCCTAGTCAGGGTGCATGCAGAAGGTAACCGACCAATGTTTCTCTCTCCCTCTCTCCCCTGCCCCTGCCCCTTTTCCCTCTCTAAGCATGTCCTCTGGTAAGGATTAAAGAGAGAGAAAAAAAAAAAAAAGAACAATATTGTAAGGCAGAAAAGTGTCCCTCTTACCTGTTTGCTGTATGGTAGTTATTGCCTGAGCATTACACTGAAGCTGTAACATGTGTCTCAGCATGGCCACTCCCCAAATATGCAACTCTTGACACATCGCAGGAACCACTGCTGCTTTGGGCTGTGAGGATTCCTGACTTGGGAGGGTCTGTAAATTGGCTGCTTCCAGCTGCTTGCATAGTGCAGAAACACTTAGGGCACAGAGGAATTTGTGCTCTGGGCTATGATTTTTAGTATGGGGCAAAAGGTGTAAGACAGCATTATAATTATTTATATACTTTCCATTAATGTCACATCCAGGAATTGGGGGCTCCATTGTTTTGCCATTTTTCTCACTCTCCTCTCCTAGGTCATAACTGAGTGTTTGCACCAGATTCTTGCTTTCAGGTAGAGAGAGATCCTTGTTACTAATCTCACCACAAAGCTTCCTTATGACTTTGCCAACATCCTCAAATCTAGCTAAAAGAGTGGACCTCAGGGAAATGTGGCAAAAGACCCCCAGTGTGAGAAGCAGCCCCCCTAGAGAGCACTCTATGCTATGGTAGAGATCCCAGGCCTGCTGCATACACTCCTGGCTGCAATACTTGGCATAGCTGCATCCGTCACAGGGAACCATGGCCAAAGTGTGCTTCAAACACCGGTGACAGTAGAGATCCCCATTGGCAACTCTGGTATTCCGCTTGCTCTCCAGGCCATAATGCAGTGGTGGCATTTCTCCTGGGTTAAGCACACTCACAAAAGCATCCTCCTTCACCAGGAGCTCTCCTGGGAGAATATCTTTCGTGGCAATCAGACAGCGGCCTTTTAAAGGGTCTGTGCATAAACTGACAGATGGTGATGCACTGGAAATTTGTTCATTCTCTTCCCTTAAGTTCATGTCCTCAAAGGCATGGGTTAGAGCTGCTGGGAAGGTTTCTGTGAGATTCTCCTTTTCTTGTGCCTTCATTTTCAGACGACAGAGGGTGCTCTGCAGAGTTTGAAACTGGGGAGCTGCTGGGGTTTGTTTGGCAGTGAAATTACTTTCAAGATCACTGATGATCTGGCTTGCCTCCTGTAGTCTCCCCAGGGTCACCAGACACTCTGCCTTACGTAACATCATCTTAGGCTGCAATCTTTCTGGATACCCATGCATCTGTGCTCTGCTGATGTCTTTAAGACATGTCTGAAAACAGAAAGGAAATCTCAAATTGATCCTTGGTCCCTACTCTTCAATATCTACTGAAAGTCTTAACAAAAATCTATAGGAAAGTTGAAGATGGGGCAACTACAATCATATGCTTATTTCTTTAAATCATATTCTACCATGTAATCTTTAATTGAGTGATAGAAATCCATGCTAAAAAGATATTTAACTATCTTATTAAATATTTGTTTTTTTTTTAATCTTCACCCAAGGAGATATATATATATATATATATTTTTTTTAATCCTCACCTGAGGTCATTTTTTCGTTTTTCGTTCAGATAGAGTGGGAGGGAGAGAGAGGAGGAAGGAGAGAGAGGAAGAGAGAGAGAGAGAGACATCGACGTGAAAGGGACACATCATGTGGTTGCCACCCACATGACCCAACCAGGGCTGAGGACAAACTGCAACCGAGGTACATGCCCTTAGCGGGAACTGAACCTGGGTCTCTCTGGACCGCAGGCTGATGCTCTAACTGCTGAGCCAAACCGGCCAAGGCTATTTTTATATTTTTAATCTTCAGATAGAACAGGGGGGAAAGAGGGAGGAAGAGAGAGAAAGAAACTTCAATGTGAGAGAGACACATCAATTGGCTGCCACCTACACAACCCCAACCCGGGCCAGGGACGAATTGCAACCAAGACACATGACCTTGGCCAGAATCGAATCCGGGACTCTGGTCCACGGGCCGACACTCTAACCGCTAGGCCAAACCAGCAGGGCTCTGTTTTTTTTGTTTTTTTAAAATTTTTTTTATCCTCACCCGAGGACATTTTTGCATTTATCTTCAGATAGAGCAGGAGGGAGAGAAGGTGGAAGAGAGAGAGAGAGAAACATCGATGTGAGAGAGACACATCGAGTGGTTGCCACCCACACAACCCCAACCATGGCCGGAAACAAACTGCAACCAAGGTATGTGCCCTTAGTGGGAACCGAACCCAGGACTGTTTGGTCTGTGGGCCAACACTCTAACCTCTGAGCCAAACTGGCCAGGGCTGTTTGTTATTTTTTTTTAAGGAAAATATTCTTATAGATAGAAGAATTATAGTATGGTAATCAAGAGGGCAGGGCCTGCATCCCAATACTGCCTCTGCCTCTTACTAGCTGTATAACCTTATGCAAGTGACTTAATTTCTCAGTGTCTTGGTTTTCTCATCTGAAAAACAGGGATAATAATATCTCTCTCATAGGGTTGAAATAAGGATAAAAGTAAGATAATATAGCTAAAGCGCTGAAAAGAGTGCCTGGAACATTGTATGTGCTCAACATATGGCACTCAATATACAGTAATCACTCCTATAAGAAGGGAAACAAAAATAGCCAAGTAGGGAAGATATAAAGGGTTAAATGTTTCACAACCTCTGTTCACTGTCTGCAGTAGTCCAGGACTTTCTTGCTTATGACCTAGAGTGAGAGTCTTGCTCTTTTTTTTTAGTCCAAAGGGCAGTAAGTGTGAACTTGTGACTACTAAAATTATTCTTACTTCTCGGGCGTAATTTAAGTTTCTGTGGAATTCTGAAATGGATGTACCAAAATGGCATTTTAGAGTGTATCCTTCGACCTCAAGTAGGGAATGAGGAGAAAGCCACTCCTCCGACACCTACCCCCTCACTTTTACTTTCCCACACAAAAGGCATGTTAAAGGTGACTTGTGTCATTGCAGGGGTCACCTTGAACATGCTGTACTCACTTTAAAAAAACAAACAAGCCCTGGCCGGTTTGGCTCAGCGGTTAGAGCGTCGGCCTGCGGTACAGAGAGACCCGGGTTCGGTTCCCGCTAAGGGCATGTACCTCGGTTGCAGTTTGTCCCCGGCCCTGGTTGGTCGTGCGGGTGGCAGCCACTCGATGTGTTCTCTTCACATCGAGGTTTCTCTCTCTCTCTCTTCCTCTCTCTCCCTCCCGCTCTGTCTGAACAAAAAATGCAAAAATGTCCTCGGGTGAGGATTTAAAAAACAAAACAAAAAACAAAAAACAAAACAAAACAAAAACAAACAAACAAGCTTGGAGCGTCAGCCTGCAGACCAAGAGTCTTGGGTTCGGTTCCCGCTAGGGACACATACCAAAATAAATAAATAAATAAATAAATAAATAAATAAATAAATAAATAAATCAATCAATCAAACAAGCAAGTGCCCTGGCCAATTTGACTGAATGGTTACAGCATCAGTCCAATGACTGAAGGGTCTTGGGTTCAATTCCTGGTCAGGGGCACGTATCTGGGTTGTAGGTTTAATCCCTGCCCTGGCCGGGGTCCTATGGGAGGCAACCAATTGATGTGTCTCTCTCCCATGGATGTTTCTTTCCCTCTCTACCACCCTCCCTCCTCCTCTATCTAAAAATCAATGAAAAAATACCCTCGATGAAGATGAACAAAAAAACCAAACAAACAAATAGTTTGCAAACACTTGGAACCTGAGGGATTATTAGCAACTTATCTCACAGGTGATCTCGACGCTGGGAACTGCTGACCCACTGGACATACAATGCCCTGTGGAATGTGTCATGATCTCTTATCAACCAGCGCTACCCCACATCATTACCTCTGATAGATAAAATGAATCAGGAGAAAGACACATTAGGGAGGAATCAATTTGCTTCCAATTAAACCGTGTGCAGCATGGCTCAGTTTTAGTGTGCTAAGGTAGAAGCCGAGATGAAGGTCTAGTCCTCCAGCTAACCTCTTCCAGATCCTCTGCAATCATACCAGGCACCCTGATACTCACTTCATACTGACCCAGGTGGAAGAGGGCTGCAGAGCGATTGGCATAACACAATGCAATGTCCTCAGTGTTTGGCCTTGAATGTGACACTCCCTGCAAAACAATGAACCAGTTAAAGGTATTACTGGAGGCTAGCATCTTTCTAGTCTTTTTCAGATAACAGGGGCTCTACTACTGTATGAAATTAGGGAATTTACTGGATTTCTTGGTGCTTCACCTGCTTCAGCTTCATTTTTAACTACCTTACAGCAAAGCTATGAAGAGCAAGGGAAGAAATAAATACTCAAAGCACTTTGAAGACAACAGCATCAGACACAGCTTCTTCAGCCACAAACAACACTAAAGGTAAACAAAAACCAAGAAGCACAATCCTCCACATAACAAAGGGTGAGTGGCACAAAAAGAAATTCACAAAAGAAGAAACACTAATGATATATGGGAAGGAAACGGGTAATTCATATATAGGTAGCCAAGTATATGAAAATGAAAGCAGAGAAGGGCTGCCTTTTCTCTACCATCAAGAATTGATAATAATCACAAAAGTGGCATTTCTAATCACTGGAGAAAAGATGGCGATTATTCAATACAAGTATTGGGAAAAATAGGCAGCTATGGAGGAAAAATAAAAAATAAAATTGGTTCTCTATATATGATAAAACTTTCGTTAGGATAAATTCCAAATGAATTAAAATCTTAATGTGAAAAATGAAACTATGAGAACACTAGAAGAAACTATAGAAGTAGCCTAACATGCCCTGGCCCGTCTGGCTCAGCAGTCGGCCAAGGACCGAAGGGTCGAGGGTTCAACTTCCGGTTAAGGGCATGTAGGTGGCAGGATCCCAGACCCCAGTTGGGGTCGTGAGGGAGGCAACCAATTGATGTGTCTCTCTCAAATTGATGTTTTTTTCCTCTCTCTCCCCCCACCACCTTCCACTCCACCTAGAAAAAAGAAACAAACAAACAAACAAACAATGGAAAAATATCCTTGGGTGAGGATTAACAAAAAAACAAACAAACAAAAAAGGAAATAGTCTAACACAATTCTGTGGTGAGAAACTTTGCATGTATGTTATTTTGCATATATCTGTAGAATAAATGATTATATCTGTAGGATAAATTCCTAGAAGAGAAATTGCTGGATCAGTGGATATATGTAGTAAAACTGCCCCCTACAGTCATGGGACCAATTCACCCTCCCACTAGCAACGTGTGAGATACTCGTTATCCCAGTCCTTTACAACCTCAGTTTGCTGTCAGTTTTACTTTTCTTTGCCAAACTGATCGGTAAAAAAAACAGAATTCCCAGTAAAGTTTTCATTTGTATTTTGCTGATTCAGAATGAGGTTGAACATTTTTTCATATGTTTAAGAGCCATTTATATTTCCCATTAGAACTGTTTATAACATTTGCTGGTTTTCTTTTCTTTTTTTTTTTATCCTCACCAGAGGACGTTTTTCCATTTTTTGTTCAGATAGAGCGGGAGGGAGAGAGAGAAAGAGAGAGAGAGAGAGAAACATCGACGTGAAAGGGACACATCGAGTGGCTGCCACCCGCACGACCAACCAGGGCCGGGGACAAACTGCAACCAAGGTACGTGCCCTTAGCGGGAACTAAACCCGGGTCTCTCTGGACCACAGGCTGATGCTCTAACCGCTGAACCAAACTGGCCAGGGCCATTTTTCCATTTTTTATTCAGATAGAGTGGAAGGGAGAGAGTGAAACATCGACGTGAAATGGACACATTGAGTGGCTGCCACCCGCACGACCAACCAGGGCCAGGGACAAACTACAACTGAGGTATGTGCCCTTAGCGCGAACCGAACTTGGGTCTCTCTGGACCGCAAGCCGACACTCTAACCTCTGAGCCAAACTGGCCAGGCCATTTGCTGATTTTCCAATTGAATTATTGGTTGTCATCTTATTGATCTGGAGGAACTGTTCATAAAGTAAAGAAATGGGCCTTGGCTGGTTTGGCTAAGCTGTTGGAGCACTGGCCCCCCGACCAGAGAGTCCTGGGTTCAGTTCCCACTAAGGGCATGTACCTCGGTTGCAGTCTGTCCTGGCCCCGGTTGGGGTCGTGTGGGTGGCAACCAGTCCCAGTCGATGTGTCTCTCTTGCGTAGATGTTTCTCTCTCTCTTCCTCCCTCCTGCTCTATCTGAAGACAAATGCAAAAATGTCCTCAGATGAGGATTAAAAAAAAATTTAAAAAAGAAAAAGAAATGGGCCTTTTGTCTATAATATGAGTTGCAGATATTTTTTTCCAGTTCAATGTTGTCTTTTGATATTGCTTTTATTGTTTTTTGCTGTAAAGAAATTTATTATCACTCTGGCCGGTTTGGCTTAGCGGTAGAGTAACAGTGCACGGACTAAAGGGTCACGAGTTTGATTCCCAGTCAAGGCTACATACCTGGGCTGCAGGTTCTATCCCCAGTCCCAGCAGGGGCCATGCGAGAGGCAACCAATCGATGTGTCTCTTACATCAATGTTCCTCTCTCTCTCTCCCTCTCCCTCTCCCTCTGTCCCTTCCTCTCTATCTAAAAATCAATGGAGCCCTGGCCGGTTTGGCTCAGCGGTTAGAGCATCGGCCTGCGGTCTGGAGAGACCCGGGTTCGGTTCCCGCTAAGGGCATGTACCTCGGTCGCAGTTTGTCCCCGGCCCTGGTTGGTTGTGCGGGTGGCAGCCACTCAATGTGTCCCTTTCACGTCGATGTTTCTCTCTCTCTCTTCCTCTCTCTCCCTCCCACTCTATCTGTACAAAAAATGGAAAAATGTCCTCGGGTGAGGATAAAAAAAAATAAATAAAAAAAAAAATAAAAAAAATAAAAATCAATGGAAAAATATCCTCAGGTGAGAATTAACCAAAAGAAAGAAATTTATTATTATTTTTTAAAATTTTTATTCTTTTATTTATCTTTTAATCCTTACTCGAGGACATTTTTCTATTTATCTTCAGATACAGGGAGGGAGAGAGATAGAGAAACATCAGTGTGAGAGAAACATTGACTGGTTGCTTCCTGCACAACCTCGACCAGGACGGGATGAACTATAACCAAGGTACATGCCCTTGACCAGAATCAAGCCCGAGACTCTTTGGTCTGTGGGCAGATGCTCTAACTACTGAGCCAAACCGGCCAGGCCAAATTATTATTATTTTTAAAATATGTTTTTATTGATTTTTTTAGAGGGAGAGGAAGGGAGAGAGAGATAGAAACATCGATGTAAGAGAGAAACATCTATTGGCCGCCTCCAGCACACCCTCTGCTGGGGATTGAGCCCACAACCTGAGCATGTGCCCTGACTGGGAATCAACCAATACCTCTCAGTCCATGGGAAGATGCTCAGTTCACTGAGACACAATGGCTGGGCAATCTTAAAATATCAAGTGATAAAAGTGAAGTGCTAAAGAGTGTATATAGAATGTTATTTTTTTTAAAAAAGGTGTAATTATTTAAATATTACATCAGTGTAATGGTGATGCAAATCAGATGTAACACCAGACCTTGAAAAAAGAGAAAAAAGAGTGTGGCCCTGGCCAAGTAGCTCATTTAGTTAGAGAGAGCATCATCTCCATATGCCAAGGTTGCCAGTTAAGTCCCCAGTCAGGGCACATACAAGAAGCAATCAGTGCCAGCCCCTATGGCTCAATGAATTGAGCATCGTCCCATCGACTGAGAGGTCCTGGTTCAATTACTGGTCAGGGCACAAGCCCAGGTTGTGGGCTCGATCCCTAGTAGGGGGAGTGCAGGAGGCAGCCAATTGGTGTTTCTCACATTGATGTTTCTATCTCTCCCTCCCTTTCTCTCGAAAAAATCAATAAAAGCATATTTAAAAAAAAAAGCAGTGAATGAATAAATAAGTGGAACAATAAATCCATGTTTCTCTCTCTCCCCCCCTTTAAAATCAATAATAAAAGTGTGTGTGTGTGTGTGTGTGTGTAGGAGTGGGAGATTATCTGTATTTACTTATAGATGCTGATGTACCTCTAGAAAGATACATTTAATACTGTATCTTCTGGGTATGGGAAACAAGGTGGCTAGGGGACAGAGGCAGTAGACTACACTGTATAATCTTGTACTTAAAAAAATGTTTTTTTCTTTATTGATTTTTAGAGAGAAAGGGAGAAGGAGAGAGAGATAGAAACATCAATGAGAGAGAACATCAGTTGGCCGCCTCCTGCATGGTCCCTACTGGGGATTGGGCCCACAACCTGGGCATGTGCCCTGACTGGGAATTTAACCGGTGACCTCTTGGTGCATGGCTCGATGCTCAGCCACTGAGCCATACCAGTCGGGCTATAATCTTGTACTTTTTAAATTCTAACTACATACACACATTTCTTATTCCAAAATAAATATATAAAATAATAGTAATAAAACCATAATAACCAGTATTGCTTAGGATATAGAGATATGAACATTCCCACACTCTGCTTGAAGGGATGTTAACTAGTTCTTTCCTGGAGAACAATTTGGCATCAAGTACCAAAGGCCTGAAAAACATTCACTCAATTGACCCAGCCATTGCTCTTCTAGGAATTTAATCCTGAGGAAATAAGCAGATGTGTACAAATATTTACATAGAAAGATGCTCCATGCAGCTTTATGATACCAAACAATCTGCCAACATCAGATGTTAAATCAAGTATAGTTCTCTGTAATGGAACACTAAGCCAGCCATAAAAAATCATGTTCTAGTGGAAAATTTAATAACACGAGAAAATGGTCACAATAAATTGTTGAGGGAAAAAAGCAGGTTACAAAACAGTAAGTACAGCATTATGCCAATTTTATAAAAGAAAAACATATTTTCAGAGGAAAAAGTGGCTGGATGGATATAAGTAAAAATGTTAACAGTGTCTATCATTGGTTAGGGGATTTCTTTTTATTCTTTATGCTTCTCTATATTTCCCAAGTAAACATATATTGCACTTGCAAGCAGACAAAAACAACAAATATTATTATAAAAAAGAAAGAAAATCGCTTTAAAAAAATTGCAAAGTACCATAATCACCAAAATACTAGCTTCATGAGATAGGCAGGCTCATCTCCTCCCACATCCAGAGCAAATCTTAATTTTTTGTCTGAGTTTACTTTTTATTTTACTTGTGTTTCTGAACAGCTTCCCATGGAATCATATTTATGCTGCACACACATAAAGTGGAAGAGATTAGCTTTGAAGAAGAACTAAGCCATTTATCAGTAGATCATTACATCTAATAGATTTTAATTCTTCAGCAATCACTAACACATTATTCAGTTAAATACTGTTATAACATTAGAGTTTTTTTGTTTGTTTTTGTTTTGTTTTTTTTTAGCAGATAGAGCAGGAGGGAGAAAGAGAGAGAAACATTGATGTAAGAGAGACACATCGACTGGTTGCCTCCCACACAACCCCAATCAGGGCTGGGGACAAACTGCAACCGAGGTACATGCCCTTAGCAGGAACCAAACCCAGGCCTCTCTGGTCCGCAGACCTACGTTCTAACCGCTGAGCCAAACCAGCCAGGGCACTCTGTTATAACATTATAAAGCAGGGCTTTTTATCAATTATAGAAGCCGCTGCTATACGTCTGATAGTTTTTGGAAAAATAATTCCAAACTTTAAGCATAGGCCTGCTAAAGATTCACAGTAGGGGTACCTTCAAATTTATACTCATTCTTTTAATATACAAGATCATAGACCTGGTGCAAGGGAGTAATACATCTTGCTTTAAATCTATATTGATCTTTAAAAAGTTATGGAAGAGCCCAGCCGGTGTGGCTCAGAGGTTGAGTGTCGACCCATGCACCAAGAGGTCGCTGGTTCGATTCCTAGTCAGGGCACATGGCCAGGTGGTGGGCCAGACCCCCAGTGGGGGACAAGCAGGAGGCGGCCTATCGATGTTCTCTCTCATCAATGTTTCTCTCTCTCTCTTCCTCTCCCTTCCTCTCTCTCAAAAATTAATAAAAGAAAAAATGGTTTTAAAAGTTATGGAAGGAAGTGTCTCAGGGATTTTGTTCCAGTTCCTACTGAGAGTGAACAAGAGCAATATTAGGTTTATAAAAGCCAATATCCATCCTTAAAATCTAGATCATTACCCTGGCCGGTTTGGTACAGCGGTCAGAGCATCAGCCTGCAGTCCAGAGAGACCCGGGTTTGGTTCCTGCTAAGGGCATGTACCTCGGTTGCAGTTTGTACTCGGCCCCGGTTGGGATTGTGCGGGAGGCAGCCACTCAATGTGTCCCTTTCACGTCGATGTTTCTCTCTCTCTCTCTCTTCTTTTCTCCCTCCCACTCTATCTGAACAAAAATGGAAAAATGTCCTCGGGTGAGGATAAAAAAAAAATCTAGATCATTGATGGTTAGCATAATTTTAAATATTTGTTGATAAGCTTCCAAGTGGAGTTCAGCCCTGGCCAATTTGGCTCAGTGGTTGAGTGTTGGCCTGCGGACCAGAGAGTCCTGGGTTTGGTTCCCACTAGGGGCACGTACCACCAAAAAAAAAAAAAGAACAAACAAAAACAAAATGGAGTTCAACTGGGCTGTGGCAATTGAGCTTATTTTCCTTTCCAACTTCATCTAAGTCATATTGGTTGTAGCTAACACTGTGGCTAATAAAAAGTCTAGCTGCTCTCTAAATTGGGACTGTTAAACAGTAGCCTCATCAGTCATTTAGACAAAGATGACAATTTAATGAAAGCTCATAGACATGAACAAGGTAGGGTAAGGGGTCCAAGACTATTGCTACAAGGTGTCTGAAGAATTATGGAATTCAGGACACGTAATATAAACTACCCTTTGTTTCAGAACATAGTCAGCAGCAGAATTGTCAGTTTTCTTTTCCAAATCCACAAATAATAGACAAAGCTACCACTCGCTACACAATTCGGCATTAAGGCTCTATCTTTTGCAGAAATATGCATTGTTAAATTGTTGAAATAGCCCCTCCCACTGAGCTGGGAGCGTGTTACCTTACTTTATTATTATTATTTATTTTTTATTTTTTTATTTTTTTCCTCACCTGAGGACATTTTTCCACCCTTTGGTCAGATAGAGTGGGAGGGAAAGAGAGGGAGAGAGAGAGAGAGAGAGACATCGATGTGAAAGGGACACACCGAGTGGCTGCCACCCACACAACCCAACCAGGGCCGGGGACAAACTGCAACCGAGGTACGTGCCCTTAGTGGGAACCGAACCCAGGTCTCTCCAGACCGCAGGCCAATGCTCTAACCGCTGAGCCAAACCGGCCAGGGCTTATTATTATTTTTTTAATCCTCACCCAAGGATATTTTTTCCATTGATTTTTTTGAGAGAGTAGAAGGGAGGGAGAGGAAGAGAGAGGGAGAGGGAGAGGGAGAGGGAGAGGGAGAGGGAGAGGGAGAGGGAGAAACATCCACATGAGATAAATGATTGGTTGTGCCCGACAGGGGCCTGGGATCAAACATGCTCTTTACCGGAAATCAAACCCAAAACCCTTCAGTGCGCGGGCTGACCCTCCAACCACTGAGCCACACTGACTCGGGCAGGAGTATCTTACCTTAGAGTACAGCACTGTGGCTCCCATGTAATCTTTCTCCTGAAATTTTTTGTTTCCTTCTTCTCTGTAGAAAAGGGGAGCGCTAGGGTCCTTTGCCACAGAATAACCTCTAGAAAGCCTTTTTAAAAACATCTCATCCTCAGGTCTTTATGGAGAAAGAAAAGAAACAAACAAAAAAGCATACATTTGTTATTTCAAGGAAAGCTCTCTTTCTCTCTCTCTCTCTTTTTTTAATCATCACTGGTGAATATTTTTCTATTGATTTTTTAAGATAGAGTGGAAGGGAGGGAGAGAGAGAGAGAGATAAACAACAATGTGAGAGAGGCACATTGATTGGTTGCTACCTTGACTAGGGGTCAAACCTGCAACCAAGGTACATGCCCTTGACTGGGAATTGAACCCGAGACCCTTTGGTCCCTGAGCCAGTGCTCTAACTGCTGAGCCAAACTGGCCAGGTCTCAAGGAAAGTTCTTAACCATTACACTTGAAACCAATGGTCTGAAAATCATTGGGACACATGAGATTCTATTATGTAATGTGATGGGAATGGCAGGGGGTGGGGACCTTGTGGTCTCTGACTAGAATTTCTATTTAGAGGATGGAGGGGTAATTTTTTATTCTTTATCTCATAATTATGAACCAATGAACCATTCCTCAGATAATACATCACATAGAAGCTTGGGTGTAGAAAATAGCATAATACAGTCTTTGCGCCAAGGCATATCCTCCACTTACACTGTTGAAAACACCTGAGTTGAATGGCTGCCAGAGGAGAGGAAGGAAGGAGGGAGGGAGGAAGAGAGAGAGAGGGAGGGAGGGAAAGCAAACAAATAATAAAGTAAAAGTAGTGAGATGCTAACATTTGGGTAACCTTAAATATTAAACAGCAAATCTCTGTACTGCTTTTACAATTAAATTTGAAATTATTTCAACATGAAAAGTTCTAAAAAGTACTGTATGCAAATGCTCTATATAATAAAAATAATAAGGTTGATCTAATATAAATACACAAACATACACATACACTGGCAAAAGAGAACACACCTTTCGTCCAATAAGGAGAAACAGTATAGAATAACCTTACTCTTTGACGACAAATGCAATGAAGCAAACAGAATATGAATAACATGGGAAATAAAAATTATCTTTAGCAACTCTTGGGTCACAAAACATTGTTTCACAAAACATTATTTATCTTTGTTATGTATAAGCTAATGTCAAATATTATTTTATTAATATTTAAGTACAATACAGAAAAAATCTCAAAATAAATGACACAGAAAGAAAAATTAGGAAAGATTTTACTTAAATCAAAAGGTATGTGTCCGGATGGTGTAGCTCAGTGGTTGAACATTGACCCATGCACCAAGAGGTCCCCGGTTCAATTCCTGGTTAGGGCACATGCCCAGGTTGTGGGCCCAATCCCCAGTGGGAGCATTTAGGAGGCAGCCAATCGATATTCTCTCTCACTGATGTTTCTATCTCTTCTCTCCCTCTCCCTTCCTCTCTCTAAAATCAATAAAGAAAAAAAAAAGATGTGCAGCCCAGCAGGTGTGGCTCAATGGTTGAGCATCGACCCAAACCAGAGGTTGCTGGTTTGATTCCTGGTCAGGGCACATGCCCAGGTTGTGGGCCCAAATCCCAGTGGGGGCATGCAGGAGGCAGCCAATCGATATTCTCTCCCATCCATGTTTCTATGTCTCTCTCCCTCTCCCTTCCTCTCTCTCTCTCAAAGCAATAAAGAAAAAAGAAAAAAGAAAAAAAGGTGTGCTTGGCCGTGGCTGAGTAGCTCAGCCAGTTATAGCATCATCATGATATGCCAAGGTTGCGGGTTCCATCCCCAGTCAGGTCACATACAAGAAGCAATCAATGAATACATAAATAAGTGGAACAACAAATCTATGTTCTCTTTTTCTCTTTCCCTCTCAAATCAGTAAATTAAAAAAAAATTTTTTCTTTTCCTTTATTGATTTTAGAGAGAGAGAAAGTGAGAGGGAGAGATAGGAACATTGATTGGCTGCCTCCTGCATGCCCCATACTGGGCATCGGGCCCACAACCTGGGCATGTGTTCTGACCGGGAATCAAACTGGCGACCTCCTGGTGCATGGGTTGATGCTCAACCACTGAGCCACACCAGCTGGACAACATTTCTTTTTTTGATAGTAGCCACTCTAATAAATGTGAAGTGGAATCTTCTTGTCATTTTGATTTGCATTTCCCTAATGATTAGTGATGTTAAGAGGATTTTTTCATATGTCTATTGGCCATTTGCATCTCTTCTTTGAAGAAATGTTCATTCAAATCTCCAAATATCAATAAAAATATTTTTAAAAAACCAAAAACCTGCCCTGGCCGGTTTAGTTCAGCAGTAGAGCGTCAGTCAGCCTGAGGTCCAGGGAGGTCCGGGTTCGGTTCCCGCTAAGGACATGTACCTCGGTTGCAGTTTGTCCCTGCCCCTGGTTGAGTCGTACAGGTGGCAACCACTTGATGTGTCCCTTTCACATCGATGTTTCTCTCTTCTCTCTCTCTCTCTCTCTCTCTCTTTCTCCCTCCCCAATCTATCTGAACAAAAAATGGAAAAGTATCCTTGGGTGAGGATAAAAAAAACAACAAAAAACCAAAAACCTAACTGGCACCCTGGCCGGTGTGGCTCAGTTGGTTGAACATCACCCTATGCACCAAAAGGTTGCCAATTTTTAGGTACATGCCCAAGTTGCAGGTTCAGTCTCAGACTGTACAAGAGGCAACCCATCAATGTTTCCCTCTGAAATCAATGTTTCTCTCTTTCTCCCTCTCCCTTCCTCTCTCTCTCAAATCAATTGAATAAAGAAAAACATTTAATTGCCCATCAACAGGGAAAAAATAACTACTGTAAATTGTGGCATATTACACTAGCAATACTTTGTGGTTGTTAAAAAGATTAAGGCGTTATGTTGGGAAAAAATCTCACAGAACAAAACACATAATATAATTTAACAGAGAATAAAAAAAGATATGTGCATATTTATCTATAAATGAATGAGAATGCATGGAAAGAACTAAAAAGACACTGTGTTTGTTGTTGGCACAAAGATAAAATGTCCACCTTGAACTTGAAAGGTATGTGTTTATGTATCTGGATATAGATGAGGCCCTCATTCATATGTCCTATTTAGCATCATTGTGTGCCATTCACTGAACTAAGTGCTTTATACACATTATCAAACTGTCATTCAATCAGTATTTGAGTACCCGTATTTTTTTTTAATCCTCACCTGAGGACATTTTTGCATTTATCTTCAGATAGAGTGAGAGGGAGAGAAGGAGGAAGAGAAACATTGATGTGAGAGAGACATATCGACTGGCTGCCACCCACACAACCCCAACCAGGGCTGGGGACAAACTGCAACTGAGGTATGTGCCCTTAGTGGGAGCTGAACCCAGGACTCTCTGGTGTGAAGGCTGATGCTCTAACCGCTGAGCAAACTGGCCAGGGCTGAGTAACTGTATTTTTGACAATGCACTGCTCTTGTCTAAAGAAAAACAAACCAAGCCCTGACCAGTTTGGCTCAGTGGTTAGAGCGTCGGCCTGCGGTCCGGAGAGACCCGGGTTCGGTTCCTGCTAAGGGCACGTACTTCGGTTGCAGTTTGTCCCTGGCCGTGGTTGGTCGTGCGGGTGGCAGCCACTCGATGTGTCCCTTTACGTCGATGTTTCTCTCTTTCTCTCCCTTCCTCTCTCTCCCTCCTACTCTATCTGTACAAAAAATGGAAAAATATCCTCGGGTGAGGATAAAAAAAAGAAAAACAAACCAAACACTGACAAGGTCCTTGCCCTTATGGAGTTTACAGTCTAGTAGTGAAGACAGACGTTAATCAAATGATTACCCAAATCTAAAAAGGAAAGGTATGCAGTATTGTACATGTATATATAAAAAAAAGATAACCCAGCTGGGATTCAGGGAAGGTTTTCCTGAGGAAAGATTTAGCTGACCCTGAAGGATAAGCAGAAGTTAATTAGTTCTTAATTAGGCATGGTGGAGTAGAGAAGAGATACGAAAAGAATTTCAGGCAGAAGTAATGTAAGAAGTGAATGCCATGTGGCATGAAGAAGCATAATGCATAGCAGGAATTGAAAGAAGGCCGATATGTCAGAAAGGGGACTGTGGTGAAAGAGGAGGCCGGAGAGACAGGCGGTGGTCAGACTGCAATGTCTTACTGGCTTCTATATTAAGAATTTTAGCCTTTATTATAAGAGCAAAAGAAACTCCTGAAATGTTTTAGGTGAGATCAATAACATTGATTAGTGTTTTGCAAAATGATTCCTGTCATGGTGTAGAAAAAGTTTGGAGTGAGGCAAGGAAGCTATTGTAATGGTCTAGCTACTGATAGTAATTTGAATTAGGGAAGTAAAGAAAATGTATTAGTTTTTTGTTGCTGCTGTAACAAATTACCACAAGATTAGTGACTTACAACACAAAAATTTACCTTACATTTGGAAGGGCAGAAGCCTAACGTAGATCTCAGTGAGCTAAAATCAAAGTGTTGGTAGGGTTTTCTGGAGGTTCCAGGAGATATTTCCTTGTATTTTCCAGTTTCTAGAGGCTTCCTACATTCTTTGGCTCATGGCTTCCTTTCTCTGTCTTTAAAGCCAGCAATGTTGCATCTCTCTGACTATTCTTCTATAGTCACATCTCCCTCTGACTCTTCTCTTTTCCTCCTTTTTCTACTTTTAAAAAAAAGAATCCTTACTCATGGATATTTTTTCTACTGATTTTCTTTTCTTTTTTTTTAGAGAAAGTGGAAGGGAGTGGTGGAGGAGAGAAACATTGATCTGAGAGACACACCAATTGGTTGCCTCCTACATGCGCCCCAACTGAGGCCAGGGATCGAACCTGCAACCCAGGTACATGTCCTTGACCAGGAATCGAGCCCATGACCCTTTGGTGCACAGGCTGACGCTCTAACCACTGAACCACACTGGCCAGGGCTCTTTTTCCACTTTTAAGGACTCTTTTGATTACATTGGACTCACTCTCCCTATCTTAAAATTGGCTAATCAGCAACCTTAATTTCCCTTTACTATGTAACCTAACATAGTCACAAATTCCTGAAATTAGGACATGGACGTCTTGGTATGTATTATTCTGCTTAACACATGGGGAAAGGGGGAGAATTGACTTCATTATAAATTTATATATATATATTTTTGTGGTTATCCTAGAGGTTACAAAATGAATTCCTGATTTATTATCTTTAGTTAGTACTTTCACCATTTCCCAAACAATACAACGATCTTACAATTCAACTCCATGCCCTGGCCAGTTTGGCCCAGCGGTTAGAGCATCAGCCCGCGGACCAGAGTCCTGGGTACGGTTCCCGCTAAGGGCATGTACTTCGGTTGCAGTTTGTCCCCGGCCCCAACGGGGCCATGTGGGTGGCAGCCAGTCAATGTATCTCTCTGACACTGATGTTTCTCTCTCCCTCCTGCTCTATCTGAAGATAAATGCAAAAATGTCCTTGGGTGAGGATAAAATAACAACAAAACAATTCAACTTGATTTCCCTATCTTACCCTTTGTACTACTGTTGTCATTTCTTACTTCTAAATGTTTTAGTTTGCATTCAGTTTTGAAAGGTATTTTCATTAGGTACAGAGTTCTAGATTGGCAAGTTTTGTTTTGCTTTGTTTTTCTTTCAGTACTTTAGATGTGCCATTAAATTGTCTTTGGGCTTCTGTAGTTTCATTGAAGAAAATCAGCCATTGTCTTATTTTTCCTCCCATATGGGTAATAAGTCTTTTCTCTTTGATTGTGTGTTTTTTTTTAATCCTCACCTGAGGATATTTTTTTCCATTTATCTTCAGAAAGAGTGGAGGGAAAGGAGGGAGGGGGAAAGAGAGAGAGAGAAACATCAATGTGAGAGAGACACATCGACTGGTTGCCTCCTGCATGACTCCAACCAAGGCTGGGGACAAACTGCAATTGAGGTACTATGCCTTTGGCTGGAATCGAACCTGCAACTCTTTGGTCCGTGGGCCGATGCTCTAACCACTGAGAAACTGGGGTAGGGCTCTTTGATTGTTTTTAAAATAGCCTTTTTCTTTTTAGTTTTTGTCAGTTTTTTTTTTTTTTTTTTTTTTTCTTTTTTTTTATTATTATCCTCGCCCGAGGACACTTTTTCATCCTTTGTTTAGATAGAGTGTGGGAGGGAGAGAGTGAGAGAGAGAAACATCGACGTGAAAGGGACACATCGAGTGGCTGCCACCCACACGACCCAACCAGGGCCGGGGACAAACTGCAACCGAGGTACGTGCCCCTAGCGGGAACCGAACCCGGGTCTCTCAGGACCGCAGGCCGACGCTCTAACCGCTGAGCCAAACCGGCCAGGGCAGTTTTTGTCAGTTTGAGCCTGCTGCCCCTAGGTGTGATTTTATTTATGTTTATAGTGTTTGGGATTTGCTAAACTTCTGGAATCTGTGGGTTGATATCTTTGACCAGTTTTAGAGATTCTGCAGCTCAAAATAGGTAATCAGTAAAAATTCACTGAATGAAGTTGTGGGAAACTCTTGTTTCAGTTTTCTCTATATATCTATGTGTACTGCATTGTGATGTAAAATATTTCTTACTAAAGAGTATAGTCAAGAGAGTTTGGAAAATACTGGGGTTAAACCTCTAAGGTCCTTTCCAAATTTGAGCACTTAGAAATTTCTATGTGCAGCTAGTAAATCTCCACTACAACCTTTGGGAAATGGCAGAGTTCAGAGCCTAAATGACTACAGCAAGGCACTGATTATTAAAACATAACACTGACACCAAAAAAGCTAAATAGCATCCCTATCTTTTCTATAATAGTAGGTTGGGAAATATGGGAAGTAGCAAAAACTGATGAATGCTCCAAAATATAAAAATCTAAATTTAATCCTTCGATCAAAAAGAGATAACTTAAGAGCAAATGACAAATTGAGACATTTTTCAGATGAATTTCCCTGGTTAAAGCTTCCATTTACTTACTGAAGAAGCAAAGAGGAGTGAAGAAAGATATCACTCAAAGTCTCTGCTGTACAAATTGTGACCTGAATGGACTTTGGGAGCAAAGCCCACTTCTGAAGTACGTATGATTTCCACTCATCCACAGGCAGATCCATGGTACTTTAGATCTATAAAATGAGTAAGAAAATAAGGAATTTAAATTTCTACAAATGCACAGTTCTAGGAAATCAAGAGTTCATGCCAGCAAGCATGAAGCAACAAAATCAATTCTTGTGATCTTCTTTTTTTTTTTTGTTAATCCTCATCCGAGGATATTTTTTTCCACTGGTTTTTAGAGTGGAAGGGAGGATGGAGGGGAGGAAAGAGAGAGATAAACATCCTGTGTCTCTGGTTGCCCTGACCTGGGTCAGTGATCAAACCTGCAACACAGGTACGAGCCCTTGACTGACAGAACCCGTAACCCTTCCATTGCTTTGGCAGACACTCTAACCACTGAGCACACCAGCCTGGGCACAATAGTTGTTTATACGCTGAAAAAGGGTCTGTATTCTCTCGTATCAATTCACTCAACTGTACTTGCATTCAGAAATATTTATTTATTTATTTATTTTTGTTAATTCTCACCCAGGGATATTTTTCCATTGATTTTTAGAGAGTGGAAGGAGAGGGAGAGGAAGAGGGGGAGGGGGAGGGAGAGAGAGATGTGACAGAGACACATCAATTGGTTATCTCCCTCAAGACCCTGGCCAGGGATTAAACCTGCAACCCAGGTACATGCCCTTGACCAGGAATCAAACCTGAGACCCTTCAGTCAGTGGGCTGACATTCCAACTGCTGAGCCAAACTGACCAGGGCCAGCTTACTGTTCCAGGCACCATGCTGGGGGACTGGACAGCTATCACCCCTGTCCTCTTTCCTCTTAGACCTGCACCTATCCCAGGTGCTCAAGTCAGAAACCCAAGGGACATCCCAGATTTTTCTTTCTCACTCTTCCCAGCAACTACTAAATTAACAAATATTTCTCTCTTACATAGTTCAGTTTTCTTTCAATCCCCTTTAGTTCAAGCCCTCACCATCTTTGTGTCTTTCCAGAGTTTCATAACTAGTCTCCATGCCCTCAGTCCTCTGTCCCCATTCAATCCATCCTGCACATTGTGACAGATATCAGTCCTCTGTCTTAAATTCATCAATACTCCTCCTAGAATTTAGGAAAGCCCAGTACGAACCCTTTATTATTTGACCTTTAGCTTACTTCCAAATCCTCAACTATTACTTTTACAAAGGAAACCTACTCTGTAACCTACTATCCTGAGCTACTCAAAGCTCTCTCCAGCTTGCCAGGCTATTCATCTCTCCAGGTTTTGCATAGGCTACTCATTCTTCCAGGGGCATCCCTACCCTCACTTGAAGTCCACAGGGTAAATTTCTGCAAGTCTCTCAAGACTCAGTTCAAATGGCCCCTCCTCCAGGAAGCTTTCCTTGATTTTTCATCTGTATAATTCCAGCACACTTGTCTCTCTCCTGGGGCCCATACTATGTGTACCTTGGGTTAGGGTTACTTACAGTGGAAACTCCCTCGACAGCCTGCGCTCTCCTCTGAGGTCAGGAACCAGGTCTTATTTACATTCAGAAACCCCCACTGCGCTTAGCTCAGGATCCAGTTACTGCTTTTACTACATTTAGCAGCAGGATTATCAGCTCTAATTCTGCTCTGGGGTACCAGGCCGAGCCGGGAAAGTTCCCAAGAGCCAGCTAGCAAAGCTCCTGGAACTGGTCTCCTAGGGCCCGCACCAGCGTTCGCGTCACCCTCGGCGCGCCCCGCAGCGTAACTCCCGCCTTCGGGCCCAGCCATCCCGCGAACTTGGGCTCGGGCGGCACGCGTGGGAAGCCCGCCCCGCCTCGGCCAATGCAGTGGCTGCTGAGCTCCTAGGCCCGCCCCTGCGCTGTGCTCACGTCGGGATGCGGAAGTGGCGTACGCAGCTCCTGGGGCCAATTGCTTTAGAGCGCGCCGGAGCCAGGGAGTGAGTCCCGTGCATCCGAGGATCGGAAACGCGGGAGTTGGCGCGGCGGAGCCATGGTGGGCCACCTGAGCGAAGGGGCCATTGCGGTGAGGAGGCGCCTGCGGGCTGGGCCGGCGGGCCGGGGTGGCTGTGGGTCTTGGGACTGTGCGTAGTGGAGAGGGGGGGAAAGGAGCTGGGGGCGATGGGGAGGGAACGAGCGAGAGGAGGAGATAACGGGGATGGGGCGGGGGGCCGCTGGGTCATTCCCTAGAATCATCACCCTTTTCTTGAAAGAATTTTTCCCGTCATATTTTAAACATGGTTACGTTTTCCTGCTTAAAAGTACAAGACAAAATAAACTTGCTTTCCACGCCCCATCTCCCACCCACGGCCACTGTGTCTCCTCTCCTTCCCCCACCCACAGTCAAACTTCTCCAAGAGTTGTCTGTTTTCAGCGATTTCATTTCCTTACCTCCTATCAACCCTTGAACTCACTCCAATCGTTCACCCCCTTGTTCACTGTAGAAGTAACTAACTATGGCTGAAATTAACAGTTCCTCCAAGTCGCTGAAAACAACAGACCTTTTTAGTTTTCAATTTACGAGAGTTCACATCGGCGTTTGAGTCCGTGCAGCATTGCCTCCTTCTGGCCACACTCTTTTGGCTCCTATGGCTTAGCTTGTCTTGTCTTTCCCCATCTTCGCAGGTCCCTCTTTGTGGATGCTGACTCCAGGCTCAGCTCTAGGCCCTCTTCTCCCAAGACAATCCGTTGCTCACAGATTTCTTTGTCCAGAGGCCTTTAACTATGAAAGACAAACCTTTATAATTTACCTGCCTATCTATGTCAAAGGCATTTAAATACATGTCCCAAAGCAAATCCATTGTCTTCCTAAATCAGGGCCTTTTGGTGTTCTCTATCTGGATGTATTCTAGCCAACTGAGCCACTCAGCCAGGGCTTCATTCCTTTTGAATAAATACCTACCTATGAGTTCAGTTACTGGATCATATGGTAACTGAATGTTTAATTTTATAAGGAATTGCCAAACTGTTTTCCAAAATGGTTATGAGAATTCTGGTTCCATGTCTTTTTTTTTTTTCCCCCTGGTTAATCTTCACCCGAGAATATTTTTCCATTGTTTTTTATAGAGAGTAGGAGGGAATGAGGGGGAGGGGGAAAAGAGAGAGTGTACCATTGATGTGAGAGACACATCTGTTGGTTGCCTCCCTCGTGATCCCAATCAGGGGTGGGTTTGAACCTGCAACCCAGGTACGTGCCCTTGACCAGGAATTGAACTCTTTGGTCCAAGGCTTAACTATTCTAATGAATGTGTAATTGTATATCACCGTGGTTTTAATTTGTGTTTCCCTGATGACTAATGATGTTGAGTATGTTTTTATGTGATTATTGGCCATTAGAATTTCTTCTTTGGTGAAGTGTCTGTTCAGATCTTTTGCCCACTTAAAAGATTGGGTTGTATTCTTATTTAGTTGTAAGAATTCTTTATTCCGTATTTGTCTTTTGTTAAATATAAGCATCATATGTATTTTCTTCCAATCTGAGACTTGCCTTTTTATTCTTTTAATGGTGTTTTTGAAAAGCAGTTTTACATTTTGATAGTCTAGTTCATCAATTTTTTTTTCCTTTTCTGAATTGTACTTTTGTCCTAGGAAATCTTTGCCTACCCCAAGGACACAAATTTTTTGTCCTGTTTTCTTCTAGAAGTTTTATAGTTTTAGCTTTATTTTAGGTCTGTAGTACATTTCAAGTTTACTTTTTGTTATTTTTTTATCCTCAACTGAGGACATTTTTCCATTTTGTTGTTCAGATAGTATGGAAGGGAGAGAGAGAGAGAGAAACATCGACGTGAAAGAGACACATCAAGTGGCTGCCACCCTCACAACCCAACCAGGGCCAGGGACAAACTGCAACCGAGGTACATGCCCTTAGCCGGAACCGAACCCGCGTCTCTCGGGACCGCAGGCCAGCGCTCTAACTGCTGAGCCAAACCGGTCAGGGCTCAAGTTTACTTTTTAATGTGTGGTATATAGATGATTTTCCCACCATACAGATATTCAGTTGTTTCAGACACCACTTTTGAATTCAAAGACTAATGTTCCATTGAATTATGTTATCACCTTTCATAAAATTAATCTGTGTACGTGTGGTTCTATTTCTGGAATATCTGTTCTGTCATTACTTTATATGTTGATGCTTACACCAGTACCAATTATCTTAACAGTAATTTTATACGTTTTGAAATTGAGTAGTGTAAACTTCCCGTTTTCGTGTACATTTTAGAATCAGGTTGTCAATTTCTGATAAAGCCTGATTGATATTACATTGCATTTATAATTTAACTTGGGGTCAGTTGACATCTTGAAAACATCAATGTTTCAAACTATGAACATGGTATATCTTTATTTGGGGCTTTCTTTCATTTCTCAGTGATCTGTATTTTTCAGTGTGCAGGTCTTGAGCATGTACTGTTAAATTTATCACTAGATATTTTATTTTTGATGGTATTAAAATGTGTTTTTTTAAAAAAATTTTCAGTTTATTGGCAGTATATAAAAATACAGTTGACCTTTGTATGTCAACCATGTCCGTCTTGCAAACTTGCTAAATTCACTTACTAGTTTTAGATTCCTTCAGATTTTCTGTGTACATGATTATATCTGCAAAGTTTTATTTCCTTCTTTTTAACCTTTATGCCATTATTTCTTTTTCTTGCCTTATTGCGTTAATTAAGACCTCTAATACCATATTGAATACCAGTGATGGGAGCTATATCCTTGCCTTCTTCCTGATTGTAAGGAGAAATTATTCAGACTTTTGCTATTAAATATAATGGCAGCTGTAGATTTTTTGGTTGATAGCAACTATCAGTGTAAACCTTTCTTCTATTTCTGGTTTGCTTTTTCTGCATCTGTTGAGATGATTGTGGTGTTTCTTCTTTATGTAACAAATTATACTGATTGATTTTGGTTACTGAGTAAACCTTGCCTTCTTGGGATTAACTTCATTTGGTCATGACATTATATCTGTTTAATATAGTGCTGGATTTGATCTGCTAATATTTTGTTGAAGATTTTTACATCTGCGTTTATGAGTGATGTTTAGATATAGTTTTTCTTTCTTAGCATGTCTGTTTTTCTGTTTTTGTTTTTGTTTGTCTGTCAAAGTAAACCTAACATCATAAATGAGTTGGAAGGTGTTCTCTATTTTCTGAAATAACTTATGCAAGATTGGTATTTCTTTGTCCTTAAATGTTATATAGAATTTGCCAGTAAATCCATCCAGACCTAGAGGTTTCTCTTTTGGGATATTTTAAATTATGAATTCACTATTTACTAGATATAGAGCTATCTAGATTTTCTGCTTTTTATGTGTCAGTTTTGATATTTTGTGTTTTTCAAGGGATTTATTCATTTTCCTTACTATCTACATACGATTTATAGTGATGCCTTTCTCATTATTCATATTGAGAGTATGTTTTCTATTTCTTGATCATACGAGTAAGATATTTATCAATTTTAATGATCTTTTCAAAGAACCAGCTGTTGATTTAGTTGTTTTTTCTATTCATCCATTTGCTATTTCATTTATTTTTGCTTTTGTTATTTCCTTCTACACTCTTGGGTTTAGTTTATTCTTTTTCTGGCTCCCTATGGTGGAGTCTTAGATAACTAATTTTGGACCTTTTCTCTAATGTAAGCATTTAAAGCTATAATTTTCCCACTAAGCATTGTTCTAGCTACATACCACACATGTAGATAGATTGTATTTTCATTCAGTTAATACTTTCTAATTTCTTCAACAGATGGGTTATTTAGAAGATATATTGTTATTGATTTCTAGCCTGTTCCCGGGGTTGTCAGATAATGTACTCTGAATGAATTCAGTCTTTTAACATTTATTCAGACTTGTTTTATTGCCCAGCATATGGACTGTCTTGATGAAAATGTTCCAGGTGTACTTAAAAAAAAAATGTGTGTTCTGAAGCAGTGGTCAGCTGGCAAACCCTGTGGCCTACATCCAGGCCTGAGCTACCTGTCTGCGGGGTATGGCTGACAGGGTAGGAAGGCCGATTTTGGTGAGAAAAGATCTGCCGACAAGGACTGGTTTCAGAGCTCCCTGGTCCCTAGCCTTGCTCAGATGCTGAGAAAGGACTTGCCAGTTAAGCTGTCAGCCCAGATGGTGACTACACCCACAGCACATTCCTTGGAAAGTTACAGCCTACTGAACATGGCATCCAAGGTTATACAAGTGATGGGAATTTTCCAGAGCCATTGCTTTCCAAAGGTCTTCCATCTATTTCAAATCCTGTTCTTCCTCCAAAAATACCTAAGGAATTTATAATGAAATACAAACGTGGAGAGACAAATGTGTAAGCCTCACACCAGTTTGCACAAATGCAACAGGTTCTTCTTGACCTTGAGGAAACAGTGACAACAGGTAATATTGTAGGACCATATTTTGCTTTTTGTGCTGTGGTGGATGATATTCAATTTAAGACTGGACTGGGACAAAATAAAAAGGAGTCTAAGTTCAGTGCAGCAAAATTAGCTCTTTGTG